GGCCTCCAACCTACTAGCTGCACTAGCGATGGCCTCCAACCTACTAGCAATGGCCTCCAACCTAAGAGCGATGGCCTCCAACCTACTAGCGATGGCCTCCAACCTAAGAGCGGTGTCCTCCAGAAGGAGATTTTGCTTAGATTTCTGTTCCAGATTTTTCTTCTAGGCCGCACAAAGCCGGGCCACATTTGCTGGCGGGTAGACTGGCACTTTGGCGATCAGGTCCTCACGGAATCTCGATCGATTTCCCTGAGTCATTTAAGCTCTTGAGGGGTTTAAGAATAGAGGTGTATGGCCGGGTGTCGATTAGGGGACGCCGGACGCCTTCAGAAATCAGCAAACATCCTCTCATATCTTCCAGAGAATGCACTTCATGCACATTTTTCAACCAAACCTACTGCTACAACCTAGTTCCCCTGCGACTACTGCTGGTGCTGCTGCTGCTGGTGCTGCTGCCACCGTCACAACAGCAATACCTACCGCCCCACGCCCCGCGCTACCACAGAATTTGGTTGGTTGACCGCTGCCAGCAAGTCAGGTCACCACCACTTCTCCAACCACTGCCGCACTAAGATTACAACAAGTTCTGACTTCAAACTCCTAGAATCTGCTAGATACAATCGCTTGTTCATGTAACACCTCCTTCCGTCTCCTTTTCATTGGTACTTGCAGACATCAATGTGCTGGACTCTTGCAACAAGACTACACAAACGTTCAGAGATATTGCGCGAAAGAGTTGGGGATGAGATCCAACGCAAAAAACATTGGTTGCGGAAGTCAGCTAGAGGTCTTCGAACTACAGACAACATCCGAGGAAAGGGCGCAGCCAGAGCATGAAGTGGTTGGGCGAGTCCTGGCAAAGCCCTGAGTTGCTGTGCTGGCTTTGGCAACATAGCTCCAATCAGCTGCGCAATGTTGAGGAACGCTTCTTGAATAACTCAGCCCCGCGCGGGCCAACGCAGCACTTGCTGATCCCGTGTGCAACCTCACACCCGTCCGAAAAGGACATTTACTGTAAAAGAACAACTTCCCGTTGAACAAGATAGCCTCCAACCCAATAGCGATGGCCTAATAGTAATGGATGCAGTTGAAAGGACTGGGGGTTGGAATAGTGAGGCTTCAAGAACGTTGACTATCCTCACACGTTTTGACAGGTACGCAGAGCAAGGAGTGGAGCAGCTCGAGGCTTGAAGGGGTTGAAAGCAGCTGATCTGAAGCTCACCAGTCCGTAGGTTTTCCTTCACCAACCTCCTCGCACTCAAGAGAGCCTCCCGGAACCTTCCGGATTGGAGCTTAGCTTTTGGAGCTTTTCGGGGGTTTTCCCCATCCATGTTGGCGCAAGAAGATGCAAACGCAACTGCTACTAGTAACAAAGGTCGCTTCTTGTTCTTGGTCTTCCACGATTTGAGGCGAGCCAGGCGAGCTGTCAGAGGAGTCCGAAGAGACAGAAGCGGAAGCTCCAGAGACTGTGAGGCACACCTCATGTGAATTCTGGGAGCTCGGCCCACTAGGCATGCCATAGTGCACCCTACCAGGCAAGCTTCTGCAGGGCCAGTAGGAAGTTAGTCAATTGAGTGATGTGGCCGTGCTTGTGATGTGGTGGTGTGCCGTGGTGCTTTCACATGTATACACTGTATGTGGTTTATGTGGTGTTTGGCGTCTTGTCATGTGGTGGTGGTTCCAGGAACTACCATGCTTTAGAGTGCAAGTTTATGGAGGGCCGCACCCCATTTGTGCTCGTCAAGCGGTGTCTCCTTAGGTGAACCCATGGCTCAGCACACGTTGGAACGGGTTTTGAGACTCGAGCCCCTGCCAAGTGTTTTTGATCAAGTCTTTGGAGGGCAATTTGATATTTTTTTGAAAAGGCAAAAGCTACCTTCAAACAACACCTACGCGAAAGAAATGAATGAGGTAATTACCGGCGGATCCAAAGTCAAATTGGAGCCTAGAAAACTTTCTTTTTACTGATGGCAAATCGGACTGACCTGACTTGTGCAATTCTGTCTCAAGTCTGGATAATGTCCCTTTCAAAGCGCATTGTTCCTAGTAGCTTCTTGTTCCTAGCAGTAAGGCCAGGAGCCCCTAGTAGCGTCCTTGCTCCTACTAGCAATGCCCTTTGTTCCTAGTGGCTTCTTGTTACTAGTAGCTTCAAAGACTGTGCGAGCCAGCGAAGCCCAGCGCACACCTGACTTCGCCCGGCCGATGTGTTTGAGAGCCACCAATCAGCGCGCCCACTATCATTGGAATGACCCATGCCCATCTCAAATTTTGTTGATACTCCCCTTTCTTGTAAAGTTAATCAGGCCCTTGAAGCTTTAAGACTTGGCCCCAGTTGTGTTGTGCTGACAAGGGGTTTCATCTAAAGCAGTGCATCAGGCTGAACCCGCGACCAGATCCTATCCTCAGCCACTGACCAAGATATGTTTAGATAAAACAGGCTCATTGGTCACCAAGATGTTTTGATTGGCATTGTGAGTTGAATGTCGTTTTACTAGTAACAAAGGACACCGCTACTAGGAGCAAGAACGCTACTAGGGGTTCCTGGCCTTGCTACTAAGAACAAGAAGCTACTAGGGGCTCCTGGCCCTACTGCTGGGAGCAAGAACGCTACTAGTATGAACTCATTATGCCAGACGAGGCGCACCCTGGCGCCGCCAATCAAACATCCAGCAGGCCTGTGAAGATCCTGTGGCCATGCACCACAGAGGTTGTACCGAGCTGTTGCGAGCGGAGGAGTCCGAAGAAAGCGAAAGTGAGGAAAGACAGGAAAGGAAGGACAATGACGGGAAGGATCCCCACACAGATGGCAAGGAATCGGAGGCGGTGGAAGGCAAAGAATCATTCCACCCTTATGTAAGGCGCCCGTCGGAGATTGCTTCGTACCGGCCGCTGGTTGTGGTTCTGCTGTGCCAGGCTCGACAAGTCCCGAACACTCCGTGAGAATCTCATGGACAGAGCGATAGTCGAGCATCCTGTGCTTTATGTGGCATTACCGCAGGACCAAAATGCCCAACAAAAGCGACTGAACATGAAATTACATGGAAGAGAACTCCTAGGAAGATGTAACAAAAGGGGTGCCTGATGCAATTCGTGCCCTTTCAGTTCTTCAGTCAACTCGTCAAGTCCTTTCAGGAGTTGAACCGCTTTCTGGCAGCTGATTGATTGCTGGAAAATGCGCTACAGTTTGCCGTCATAAGCTTGTTCGGGCTTTGGCGAACTTAGTTAATGCCAAGTTTGGAGCATGCTCCCATTCATGGACTTACTTTTTGAAGTTGGGTCTTAGTCACCTGTTTTGTAGTTTTGGTGCTCACCTGAAGTGGTAAAGTTCCATGTGTTTAGGTTGGCAGGCTCGAAGGAACGGCCATTACAAAGCACATTTCTAATAGCGTTCTTTTTACTACTAGTAAGGCACTTGTTACTACTAGCGTGGCACTTGTTTCT